TCACTCTTAAACTGGCCAAACATGTTACAATCTAATTGTACAATCTCCTTTAGGGTCCGGTCACACCAGCAGGCACTCATTATGGTACGCATATTGCACACACGCACTAATGCTTTGTACCAGGCTTCTTTAAATGACACTCATCCAGCTCTAAGCACAAGAGTGTTGGGATGAACTGATCTATTTTTCTACATAAAAATTAAGCACGCCTCCATTGTTCATCAACGCACACCATGCCCTAGTGTGGTGCAAATGAGGCACATGGACAGCAAGTGTCTTCACGTTGATCAACTCAGACCAGAGAAACTCAATGCACCTGGTGTGAGTGAGCCCTTAGATCTACCAGAGCCTATAGTGTGAATTAGGGCTGCACCAATACCGATACTAGTATCGGTGCCTATACCGAGTATTTGGGGGAGTACTCGTACTTCCCCAAATGCTCTAATACCTTCCTCTGACCAACAGTGCCATAGGGGGAACATGGAGCCGGCTACCTGGCCACTCATGAGGCCGGGTGGCAAGTAATGACCCGACTTCTGGCTTCCTGATTGGCCAAGAAGCCGGGTACTTGCCGTTTGGCTGGGAAGCTGGATTCCCAGCCATTCAGCATCGAGACGGCCGAACATGGAGCTGGCTTCCCGGGCAATAAAGAAAAAGGGCAGCATGTCATTACCCGCCCCCTGGCTTCTTGATTGCCCGGGAAGCTGGCTCCATGCCAACAGAAGCACCGGTACTCGGCGTCAGCGAGTACCGCAAAGCAAAATATCGGTACTCAATACCGAAAAACAGGCATCGGTGCAGCCCTAGTGTGAATGTCTACCTAATATGAATGAGACACGGGTAGAATTGGATGGGGGTTGTATGGTAGCCCAATGGAAGTAGAATTGGATGGGGTTTGTATGGTAGCCCAACAGAAGTAATTATGTTGACTAGGACCACATACTGTATCTTGTTTCTGTCATATAAAAGCACCCCATTAGGTATCTCCTCTTGGGGTTCTTCAGGATATGCAATGGGCACTGATGTATACACCATGGTTAACCTTTCATGGTCCCCTTCCATACACTTGCCAGGTTAGTACTAGAACTATATGAATGCTCTGGCTGGCTTTGCAGCTGGAACACGTTCTTGGCTTTTTGGTTATTGAAGACTCCAATGGAGAAATGTGACACCAGTATTTGACTTTGTAATTGCCGGATTCCACAAGGGGAGATCTTACCAATAGAGTCCTGAGCAATATGAGAAGATAACATGTAATTCAATGTGTTATTTGACTTGCAGCTGTGCAACACTAAAAATCACTTTTTGGGTGGAGTTGACCTTTACATTCCCTTTACAAAAGCAGAAGATTGCGGATTGTCGATCGCACGTCACAGCATCGGCTAATGTTAATCATAAAAGTCCACGTGGTCGCCAGATTTGTAGGCGTCTGCCTGGAGGACGTCCAGCATCTTGCGCGCAGACACGCGACAGTCGATGAGTTTGCCGCTTTTCTTCATGTTAGCGAACTGAAGACGCAATTCCGGATCCTTCGTCTTGGTCCGTACTTCCTCCTGCATGTCGTTATCCAAGGGCCCTGCCGGATATGAGAATGAAAAGTGAGTCAGAATGTAAGAAAAGTATTTACAGGTCATCGCAAATTCAACCAAAGGATTTCCTTATTTCAAGATGGCGGCTGGAGCCATGCCGGTCATTGCTTTATGTCCTGCTAACTGTCCATCCAGATATGATTGATTACAGCTAACTACAGGCTAAATATAGAGCCATTTATCCAAATGTGCATCCAGAGCCCCGGGTTATAGCACAGAAACATATGGGCCAGTCACTTGTGTGATATTACTGACACTGGTACATATACAGACATAACTAAACAGAGCAAAGCATTCAGGGAGATTACTCCTTAAAGTGAACCTGTGGCCAAGCCATGTACATTCAAGTAAATTAAGCTTTAAAGCTTTACTGGGTGGAGCTTTAAAACAAGCCCCCTATTGTCCTCTGTAGCTGCAGGCACTATGGAACAATTCATCCCTACACATCCCTGTAGAAGAACAGAGAACCTGTGGCCAAGCCATGTACATTCAAGTAAATGAGCTGTAAAGCAAGTCCCCCCCCCTTGACCTCTGTAGCTGCAGGCACTGTGGAATAATTCATTTCCAGCCATCACTGTAGAAGAACAGAGAACCTGTGGCCAAGCCATGTACATTCAAGTAAATGAGCTGTAAAAAAAAAACAAAAAAACCCTTGACCTCTGTAGCTGCAGACACTGTGGAATAATTCATTTCCAACCATCACTGTAGAAGCACAGAGGTTGGTCAAGTTGCTCTCTAAGCATCCTCCCCCTGCTCCCCCCTTCCAATTATGACCCAGCAGCTTAGCTCCCCACTTCAACCCTCAGCAGTTTAGCTTCCTCTTCTACTTCCAACAGTGATTCAGCAGTACAGCTGCCTCTACTACAGTTACTCGGCAGCTCAACTCTCCCCTCCCCCCCAGCAGGGACTCTGCACATCCCAATAGGCACTAGGCTCCTGGGTTATATAAACAGTTGCACAAATATTGCGAGACATAAGAAAATGCATCTACAACTATTTTATACTACAGAGTCTCCATTTTCAGAAAATATATTATGTTTTGAGTTTTTGTCTTTAATAAGGAGAACGATGGGGTTAGGACTTTTCCCCATAGTTCTCCTTAGGGTAACGGGAGGACACAAACTAGCGTCCTCCCGTCACCCTAAGCTCAGTATACTGCGAGCTGTAGCTCGCGGTATACTGAGCTTAGGGTGACGGGAGGACGCCGCAGCTGAAGCGGATCCCGAAAATTATGTCTGGATCCGCCCAGCTGCGTGAGTGACAGCTGGCTCTGCCTATCTAGAGGCAGAGCCAGCTGTACCCGCCCCCTCCCATTCTGGCAGAGCGGGGAGGGGCGAATCCAGCAGTCACGGCAGAGAGTTGTGACAGGATCCAGAGGTGAGCGAACGCCGGTATGCGTTCGCTCACTTCCCGATCTACTGAGCTGACCTGTGAGAGGCTCATTGTCACAGGTCGGCTAGAACTATGAGGTGAGTGAAAAGCACTCACCTCATAGTTCTCCATTAAGTGGAACGGAAACCAAATGTTTTTTTTCGTTTTGGATTAACAACCCTGTCAGCTATTTTTGTCATCTGTATCCCATTGGGGAGATTACCCTTCACTTGCTGTCCGATAGCCACAACAGGAAGGGAGAAGAAATGCCTGGTGGTCAGCAGAGTCATCGGAACGAATGTCACATTTAGAAGATTTTCCATCTATTCCTGTTTTGGTGACAACTCAAAATGTGAGATTTTCCTTTCTACTATTAGTGAGAACGGTCACCCGGACAAATAGAGGGGACACAGACAGCAATAAAAACCCGACAGGTGTTCTAATCCCTCTGCACTCCAAAACTGTAAAAACATGAAAACCCCTTTATTGTTTAGCAAAGCAGATTTTTTGTGTGCGCTTTACACAACCTGGTGAGTAGCTGAGTACGCGGATGTCCGTCTCCTCCTCGGCCAGCACTCTGAACATCATCTCCCGAGCCGCCTTCCCGGCGCAGTACAGCGTCCAAGACTTGAACGGTTGAATGGCAGCCAGAGAAGAGACATTGACCACATGCCGCTGAAGCCCCGGACGTCCTTGGAAAACCTTCAGCAGGGACGAGGTCAGGCACAGCGCTGATGACACGTTGAAGGAGAAATATCTGTCCATCTCCAGAGGGTCTGTAAAGTCCACAAATGATTTGTCGATATCGCCCAGAGACCCTGCGGAGGAAGAAGACCAAGGCACATTTAAGAAGATCCTGTAATATGGCGGGCAGGTCAACAGAAAACATTTCATGGGGTATCTATAAAAGAATCCAGATATGTCAAGACAAGATCCTTATTGAAGTCATTACATCCATCGATTGGCCTTGGTGACTATCTAGTGGAACTGGGACAGAAAGGGATGGGAATCCCAACTCTTTACACCAGACCCCTACACACCAGGTTTCTTTTCATCTATAAAAAAAAGGAAGATTGAGCATTAGGGGACATGTGGAGTGGCTGTCAGGATGGTTGACTTGAAGATGGTAGCTTGGCTCATTCCTCCCAAACCCTGAAAGCAAATATGTGAGGCCTCCAAGGATCAGACGCCAAGGTGAAGGCTGGTTAATGTCTACAGAGAAAAGTAATAGGTTGGGTCTCTTTACACCCCTCTAGGGAGAGCCCCTTAATGGTGCAGGACCAGCTGGAGCACATTGATACTACTTGTCCCTGGAGACACCCAGTGATTTGGGAATGGTCTCAGCTCAGAGTACAGGTGAAACTCGAATAATTAGAATATCGTGCAAAAGTAATTGCAGTAAGTGCTGCAAAAGGGGCCCAAACCAAGTACTGAGTACATATGCATGCTTGTACTTTTCAGAGGTCCGATATTGTTCTATGTACAATCCGTGTTTTATTGATTGCATGTACTATTCTACTTTTTTGAGGTTGTGGATTTGGGGTTCTTGGGGTTTTCATGAGCTGTAAGCCATAATCATCACAATGATGACAAATCACGGCTTGAACTATCTTGCTTTGCATGTAATGAGTCTATCTCATATATTAGTTTCACCTTTTAAGTTGCATTAGTGAAATAAATGAACTTTGCACGATATTCTAATTACGGTATTCGAGTTTCACCTGTATATTGTATGGGTATGTGATGATTCCCCTATCCACTTGAGTCTTGTCAGATGGAATAACCTCCAGGCAGCACCATCCCAACTTCTACCCTGCATGTTACATGCCTGCCCTGCAAAATAAGAGGTTGTGCCACTGACAATCCAACAGAGAGGCCTTGAATGGTGCAGGACCAGCTTGGGCACATGGTTACTGTGTAGCTCTTGGCGCACATTACTGATGTATATGACTACTTACCTATCAACTTGAGTCATGTCAGACAGAAGGCACTCCAGGCAGCATCCAGTACCGTCCCGATATCTACCCTACCCTCTAGATGCCTGCCCTGCTCATTTGAGGCATGTCAGATGAAAGGTCCTCCAGGCAGCCCCCGGTACTGTTCCAACTTTTACCCTACCAGCTACCTGCCTGCCTTGCTTACTTGAGGCATGTCAGATGGGACAATACTGGGTGGTGCCTGGAGTTTCTTCCAACGTCTACCCCCTTCTCCCTACATGCCTGACTTGCTTTGAGATCTCTGGCAGTGGGCAACTATGAGTTGCAGAATAAACCTCAGTACAAACCCTGATCCCTTCATCCTTCTGTCCAGCATTTGAGCAGCTTTCATGCAGTTGGTGTAATGCTCCCTACAGGCTGGCTGGTGTTTTTAGGGATTTCTGCTTTTACAGGTCAGTTCTAATGTCTGCAACAGTGAAGGGTTTAATAAAAAGTTCACAAAAAAGGGCAAGCTTATGAATCATTGATTGGGAGGATTCAAATGTAAAACATTTACCACCCATAGCTTCTCTTTCTCTGCTTCTTACTGTACAGTGTTGTGTTCTACTGCATTTTCTACTTTTTTGGGTTAAACAAACTATTTTGTTGACTTTTGGTCACCATATTGCACAACAATTGCAAACGATGAACTGATTTCCTACCAAAGCAAAGTCCATAAAAAGTCCAAGTGCAATGTGTCAGGTTAGGAAGACCAATGAAAAGGAATGGACTGTAACCAGGGCTGGATTAACTGTAAGGCAAAATAAGCATGTGCTACCAAGGGGAGGGGCACCACAGAGTTTTCCCCCTAGCGATCATGCCCTTGGAAGGAGAAGCGCACTGTAGAAACAAAAGGGAACTTATACTTGTTGCCCCTTTTCAAGAATGTAAATAAATATTAAGGAATAAGTAAATAATTTTCTAAAAGGCTTTAAAATTTCAATGAGAAAAAATAGTAGCACCAAGTGTGGATTCGGGGTAAATTTTTCACTTTTGTTAACATCAAGGTGAGAATTGGTAAATTTATAAATAAAAAGCCTCAGTCAGCTGCTTCATTTTGGTTCATGCACAATCTGTTACAGGTTTTGCAATTAATATAGTTGAGAGCTTTGGCCTTAGGCTGATCTTTATTGGTGGTCGGTAGCAGTGCTGGCAACCCCCATTCCACATTGGTGGTCAGTAGCAGTGCTGGCAAACCCCTCCCCTGAATGGTGGTCAGTAGCAGTGCTAGTAACCCCCTTCCTTGAATGGTGGTCAGTAGCAGTGCTAGGAACCCCCTTTCCACATTGGTAGTTAGTAGCAGTGCTAGTAATCTCCTTTTCACATTGGTGGTCAGTAGCGGTGCTAGTAACCCCCTTCCTTGAATGGTGGTCAGTAGCAGTGCTAGGAACCCCCTTTCCACATTGGTAGTTAGTAGCAGTGCTAGTAATCTCCTTTTCACATTGGTGGTCAGTAGCGGTGCTAGTAACCCCCTTCCTTGAATGGTGGTCAGTAGCAGTGCTAGGAACCCCCTTTCCACATTGGTAGTTAGTAGCAGTGCTAGTAATCTCCTTTTCACATTGGTGGTCAGTAGCGGTGCTAGTAACCCCCTTCCTTGAATGGTGGTCAGTAGCAGTGCTAGGAACCCCCTTTCCACATTGGTAGTTAGTAGCAGTGCTAGTAATCTCCTTTTCACATTGGTGGTCAGTAGCGGTGCTAGTAACCCCCTTCCTTGAATGGTGGTCAGTAGCAGTGCTAGGAACCCCCTTTCCACATTGGTAGTTAGTAGCAGTGCTAGTAATCTCCTTTTCACATTGGTGGTCAGTAGCGGTGCTAGTAACCCCCTTCCTTGAATGGTGGTCAGTAGCAGTGCTAGGAACCCCCTTTCCACATTGGTAGTTAGTAGCAGTGCTAGTAATCTCCTTTTCACATTGGTGGTCAGTAGCGGTGCTAGTAACCCCCTTCCTTGAATGGTGGTCAGTAGCAGTGCTAGGAACCCCCTTTCCACATTGGTAGTTAGTAGCAGTGCTAGTAATCTCCTTTTCACATTGGTGGTCAGTAGCGGTGCTAGTAACCCCCTTCCTTGAATGGTGGTCAGTAGCAGTGCTAGGAACCCCCTTTCCACATTGGTAGTTAGTAGCAGTGCTAGTAATCTCCTTTTCACATTGGTGGTCAGTAGCGGTGCTAGTAACCCCCTTCCTTGAATGGTGGTCAGTAGCAGTGCTAGGAACCCCCTTTCCACATTGGTAGTTAGTAGCAGTGCTAGTAATCTCCTTTTCACATTGGTGGTCAGTAGCGGTGCTAGTAACCCCCTTCCTTGAATGGTGGTCAGTAGCAGTGCTAGGAACCCCCTTTCCACATTGGTAGTTAGTAGCAGTGCTAGTAATCTCCTTTTCACATTGGTGGTCAGTAGCGGTGCTAGTAACCCCCTTCCTTGAATGGTGGTCAGTAGCAGTGCTAGGAACCCCCTTTCCACATTGGTAGTTAGTAGCAGTGCTAGTAATCTCCTTTTCACATTGGTGGTCAGTAGCGGTGCTAGTAACCCCCTTCCTTGAATGGTGGTCAGTAGCAGTGCTAGGAACCCCCTTTCCACATTGGTAGTTAGTAGCAGTGCTAGTAATCTCCTTTTCACATTGGTGGTCAGTAGCGGTGCTAGTAACCCCCTTCCTTGAATGGTGGTCAGTAGCAGTGCTAGGAACCCCCTTTCCACATTGGTAGTTAGTAGCAGTGCTAGTAATCTCCTTTTCACATTGGTGGTCAGTAGCGGTGCTAGTAACCCCCTTCCTTGAATGGTGGTCAGTAGCAGTGCTAGGAACCCCCTTTCCACATTGGTAGTTAGTAGCAGTGCTAGTAATCTCCTTTTCACATTGGTGGTCAGTAGCGGTGCTAGTAACCCCCTTCCTTGAATGGTGGTCAGTAGCAGTGCTAGGAACCCCCTTTCCACATTGGTAGTTAGTAGCAGTGCTAGTAATCTCCTTTTCACATTGGTGGTCAGTAGCGGTGCTAGTAACCCCCTTCCTTGAATGGTGGTCAGTAGCAGTGCTAGGAACCCCCTTTCCACATTGGTAGTTAGTAGCAGTGCTAGTAATCTCCTTTTCACATTGGTGGTCAGTAGCGGTGCTAGTAACCCCCTTCCTTGAATGGTGGTCAGTAGCAGTGCTAGGAACCCCCTTTCCACATTGGTAGTTAGTAGCAGTGCTAGTAATCTCCTTTTCACATTGGTGGTCAGTAGCGGTGCTAGTAACCCCCTTCCTTGAATGGTGGTCAGTAGCAGTGCTAGGAACCCCCTTTCCACATTGGTAGTTAGTAGCAGTGCTAGTAATCTCCTTTTCACATTGGTGGTCAGTAGCGGTGCTAGTAACCCCCTTCCTTGAATGGTGGTCAGTAGCAGTGCTAGGAACCCCCTTTCCACATTGGTAGTTAGTAGCAGTGCTAGTAATCTCCTTTTCACATTGGTGGTCAGTAGCGGTGCTAGTAACCCCCTTCCTTGAATGGTGGTCAGTAGCAGTGCTAGGAACCCCCTTTCCACATTGGTAGTTAGTAGCAGTGCTAGTAATCTCCTTTTCACATTGGTGGTCAGTAGCGGTGCTAGTAACCCCCTTCCTTGAATGGTGGTCAGTAGCAGTGCTAGGAACCCCCTTTCCACATTGGTAGTTAGTAGCAGTGCTAGTAATCTCCTTTTCACATTGGTGGTCAGTAGCGGTGCTAGTAACCCCCTTCCTTGAATGGTGGTCAGTAGCAGTGCTAGGAACCCCCTTTCCACATTGGTGGTCAGTAGCAGTGCTAGTAACCCCCTTCCTTGAATGGTGGTCAGTAGCAGTGCTGGCAACCCCCATTCCACATTCGTGGTCACTAGCAGTGCT